CTGACACGTGGTGGACAAGAATGACCGACGTGACTGGTCTGATACCGGTCATGTCGTCAGCAGACAACCACGATTCCACGTCGCGCCTGCTTCCGGCAGAAGTGGAGGTAGGTATGGGCCGTCCCATCAAAAGGTCATTCGGACGGCAACCATACAAGTCTCCGTCTGTTTATGAAAAGGTGGGGTAAGTCCCCACAAAAAAGAGAGAAATGGTGCATGTGGTATCCCCTTAAGATATAAAAGGAGGACCTTGCCCACTGAGATGAGGGAGTAGACTGGACTTTTCCAGATTAGAAACCCAGAACAAGGGAGAGGCTGGCTGATACTTTGTAGCTCCTTCATACACAGATCTCCCAAAACACAGGAGTAGGGTATTACGCTTCTCAGCGGCCCGAACCTGTATACATCGCCCGTGTCTTGTGTGTTTCCTGTCTCGCGAGCCTTCCACATACAGAGAGCTTAGAATCTCTCCCTGAGTCCCCGGCCGAACCGGCAAAGGGGGGCCTGCGCGGTCTCCCGGTGAGGAGCCCCACGCTCCGTCACCAGGTGTCGGGTTTTTCCAAGTCTTTTGTAAAACCCAAGTTTTACCGATCGTTGGATATTTTAAATTTGAGGGGAGGACTTCGACATGCGTGTCCAAAGGCCCGTACATCGAAGTACAGCAGTCGACAAATGAGGTTTAAGTGTTCAATTATTCAAGGAGGGTAATTGCAGCAATTAGGATTAGGGCCGGTAGGCTATCTCGCAAGCCGCGGCCAAATTTCTTGTGTTAATCCTATCCATGCATTATTTGCGGAAAAGAAATACTTAGATTTAAATTATAGGTGCAAGATGATCAAAGGTGACTTGCCTTGCTCGAGATCTTGAGCTTGATCCTCGAAATCCGCGCACTCCGGGTCTTCGGGCTTCGAAGCTACACGCGAACGAGACGACTCAACAAACGGCGGAATTAAAGCCCTATTATTGACCTCTAAGCGTGCCATTAGATAGATCTCGAGATTTGAGGATTTTTGGAAGTTGAACGGAGTCAAACGGATGTACGGTTGAGAAGATATTGAATTTCTAAGATTATTGGATTTTTGGTCTAAAGAAAAAAGGATTTAATTAAACCCCTTTTTGGAAAAGAAAAGAGGGAGGGAGGGAGATTGAACTTTCCTCGGGCGGCTAGGGCGCGGCTTGAGAGAAATGGGCAACTCGGCCGCGCTAAATGGGCCGGCCGGCCCGAGAGAGCATGGCCCATTAGGGCGCGCGGGAGGAAAGGGGAGAGAGAGCCGGTGGTCCGGGCTCACCTCGCGTGGTCCCGAGTGGGACCCGCTTGTCGGCGGCTCGGCTCACCAAGAGCGAGGTGCATGCGGCGCGACACTAGGGTTGGGGGGTGGGTGCGGTGCACGCGTGTGGCTCGCGGTGGACGCGGCGCGCGGGTGGCCCACGCGCAGCCTCTTGGCTCTCCGTGGGCCGCGCGCACGCGAGCAGGGACGGAAGGATTGGCTGACCGGGGTCAGCTTGACCCGGTCCGGCCGAGCTAGCTCTGACGTGGCGCCTTCGTGGCTGCCACGCGGGCTGGCGGGAGGAAGACAAAGGCGCTGGCTGCTAATGGACGGCGGGCGGCGGCGGTTTCTCCGGGACACCGTGCGACGACGAGGGCGACGGGGTGTACACCGGAATGACAAGGGGAAAAGAGAGGGAGCGAGCCAACGGCTCGGATTCACCTGAGGGGGTTCGACGGCGGCGGATTGTGGCGGCGGCAACCGGTGGCGAGAAAGGGGGATATCGGCGACGGCGTGACGGGAGATCGATTCGGATTGGACGGAACATCGCCGAGGAAGTCCGGCGACGGGCGGCTACTACCGAGCGCGGCGGTGACGGCGGCGAGCCTACTGCGAGCGGCGGCAACGGTCAGGGCGGCGCAGGCTAGCTACGGGGAGACTACACAAGCTACTGCTCGAGTCTGAGGGGAGGAGGAAGAGCGAGGAGGGAGAACGGGAAGGTGTTCTACCGAGACGAGACGGGCGCTGTGACGAGAGGCCGACGGCACGAGAGTGATCTCTCCGGCCTCGGGCCGGGGAAGAGGAAGAAGACGAGCGCCCGGAGTCCCCTTCACGCGTCCTTCGCACACACCGGCTCTCCCGGTGCTTTGGCGACAAACGGCGGAGGTGCAAGCAGGGCGGAGCGACGATGGCGCGGCAGGCGCGGGCTCAGGCGCGGTAGGTGCTGATGGCGGCGGCGACTAGCCGGTCGGCCACCACGGCGCGCGCGCGGGAAGCAACGGGTGGCACGGCGATTTGAGCGGCGTCGGCGGGAGCGGCATCGAGAGGGAGCGAGAGCAGAGAGAGGGGGGAAAGAAAGAGAGAGAGCGAGCTCTCTCTTGCTCAGGGCTCGAGCGGCGCACGTGCCTCGCACGTGCGGGCAAGGATGGAGGGGAGAGGAGAGATGGGCTGAGAGGAAATGGCCGGGGAGAAGAGATCGGCCCACGAACTCGAGGGAGGCAAAATAGACTTTTTCGAGAAGATTTGATTCGGGACAGATTGAGGTTAGGGTTTGGATTCGACGATGGATTGGGGATTTGAGATCTGGAATGGCACGGACACTGGACAACAAACAAAGAAACAATTTTCGCATTTAGGATTTTTAAGAGATAGTTTTCCCACTAGGCGCCACGACGGGACGGACGCTACAGGTGCAAAGTTGTAAACTCAGATTCTCTGCTGAGAAGAATCTTGACACTTCAATAGTACTACCATACCTAGTTAAGCTTTGTTGCCTGATGGGTGTTACTTTATTCGTTGCTGCTTAGTATCCCCCTATTGTTTGACATTTCTACGGTTCTTGCTTTTCTGTAGAGTCTGTACTAATACCACTCCATTTGTTGGGCTTGTTCTGTTCTTTTGTGAGACAAACCTGTACTAGCACTACTATTATATCTGCTGAGCTACTGAATCACTGATGTACTTTGCAAACATCTCTTAGATCAAGGGAGCTTAGGTAGACATAATTAAGCTGTATCATGAGACCTAACAGTCTAACAAAGCAACGAAAACCTTTAGTAGAAATAGCAACTAGTGCTGGGGAGAATAATTCTACTTTGGGGAAGCCCAGCACGCATGGAACCCTGGAAGTGGATAGTATGATACTCCAGCATGCAGTTTCCCTTTTCTTGCCTTCCGTGTTGGTCCAGGAATCGCCCAATTTGGCGTTTTATATTGAACCATTTGGTCTCTCTTTTCCATTACGAGGAGAGGGATCAAGTTGTGCCCAATGGGCAGCGAAGAATGATCATGTAAAGACTCTTCTCTGGTTTCTAACTTCCTATGGCTTCTTGGTTAACTCTCCTCTTGCTGTAAGCATGCAGTGAGCCTGACGCTTCAAAAGATGCTTAAATCTTGGGCACACTAGTAGTAGGCTATTGGTGATTTGGAATGTACAAGATTCTTGTTATGGGGTGATCTACAACTATAATGGTGTGAGTACTTGTGCCTACGTTTGACCCTTCCTAGTTTGTGGTCGCAGGAATGCAAGTTGAAGAACCTGAAAAATGCATGCAGTACGGAACAATCGAAATGCTGGCTGCTTTATTTCCAGGAATTGAGACTTGTGGAGTCGGAAAGCAGGTGTTCATGATTTTACGTACAATTTTTAAGTAGTTTCTGTTCTCTTATGCTGGTAACTTGGTTGGGGTCCGATTGTATTTTGCAGTGGCAGTCGTACATGTACTCAATTGTTATGTTCAACCCATCATGCATAATACTAGTAGTATATGCAACTATTCAAACCCCCATTTAAATACAGGGAACATTTTCTGATTTTTGTAGGAACCGAACCTTTTCAAAATAGTTTTTAAAATTCTTTCTAGGAGAATTAACATTTCCTGTGTTTTGATAATGGCAGCAGCCTACCTAAACTTTAGTCCTGTTTTCATCACAGTCAGCCACCATGCAATGATAGACATAAAACTATACCTTAAATCAGTCAACTATACCTTAAACTTAGGAAGAGAAGTTGCCAAGCCTGTGGGAGCCTCAGTGCGTGTCCAGAGAATAATTTCTTTCACTTTCTTTAACTAATTTTGCTACTACTCCTGCCATAGATAGCAACCCCGGACGTGCACCCAACCAACCTACACTTACCAGCCGCATTGGATGCCGTTGCTCCCCACACACACCGAACCAACGGTGAGCATGTGACCTCAGGGTGGGCCATACCCTGACGCTGCCAACTGGAAGATTTTGGCCAAAAACCGTGTTTCCTCCATTGTTAATTACCCTGAGGTGACATGGCAACCATAAGTTTTTGCTATGGGTACATGGACCAATCTGCGTCTTATTGTTTTGGTTTTATTCTGGGAAAGGTCAGGCTGGTTTTTTAAGGGCTGGAATGACAACGATAATGATATCCATAGGAGTATGATAAGTAGGCGTGAGATAAGATATGACGTTTTAAGTTTCCATCAACTATATATTATCTTGTAGATTTGTCGAGATGATAGTGAACGGAAGGTTTTTCTTTTTTTCTAGTGCTGTTATCATTTGTTGTCATAACCATGTTCACATGTTATGTCAGTAAAGTGTATTATAAATACTATAGTTTAGGAGAAAAGTAAACTTAACTATAAAAAGATATTTTTTATAGTCACTCCTACAGTCATGCATATCAAGTTGCGCCATTATTCGTTTGTCTGATACTTTCTTCGGAACAAAACAATCATTTGTTACAGCACAACACCAAACCACCCTCGGTCATGATAATGCTAGCTCTTTATCGACAGCACCTCTAGAACAGCAATATGTATTTGATCGATAGATCGAGATTCTATGTACGAATTGGTCCCCCTCCTTAATTAAAACCAACCAAAAAAATCAGCTCATACAAGATTAACCTATGGGAAATTTGCTATTGGTAAAACCAAATTATATTTCTCCTTTTTCTCAGTTTTCTCTCCTATATGGTCCCCACCTTGCAGTTATATAATCGGTGCTCCAGATGTAGGCATACAAAATTGCAATAAAGAATGGTTTTGTAGGCGTCGCTTGGAACAAGGAGGAGGATTAAAGAACATCCCCCAGTTGGAATGATGCAGTCGAGGGGGGCAGCAGCGGAAGCGACGGCGGGGAGGAGCCGAGGAGGCTGCAGGCGCAGCGAGCAGCAGCAGCTTCTTCGCTCGGCGGAGGCACCGAGGGAGGAGGCGCGTGGTAGCCATGCTTCTCCCCTCATCGTCTTCTTATTCCTACGCCTCCAAAGGTCATAATCCAAACCTTTCTCTTCTCCCTTCCTAGACGATGTAGCAGTAGCTATACCCCTGATCTTGTGCAAGTGCTGAGACCACTGGGTAATCTTGGTTTCTTGGAGCATATGTTTGTTTGCTGATCTTGTGCAAGTGCTGAGACCACTGGGTAATCTTGGTTTCTTGGAGCATATGTTTGTTTGAGTGCGTGTTCTTGATCTCCAATCTCCTGGGTAGTTTGTCATGCTTGACTTTTCGTAGTCAAAGAACGATTCTTTTATAGGATTGTAATGGAGCATATTCTTGATGCCGAGGCTTATTACGCTTAGTGTTTGTGGATTTGACTGGATGCATGTCGTTTTGGCACAAAGATTGATTGAGTATGGAGATTGTTGACTAGTCGTGTGTGGCTTGTAAGGCTACTATTGGATGTCTTTGGGGCTCTAGGGAGGATCTCTCAAGTCTCAGTGTCAGACTCGATGGCAGCAGTTGTTGTCATGCATGTTCTTGGGAATTTAGATCATATATCATCATCATATAAGCTTGTGTTTATCACTTGATGTGGGAACATTTCTAGTGCTGCCTTTCTCTCGACCATATTTGAGGACGAGTGATGTGTTGATGACTGATGAAGTGATGATATACTCGGACTATAGAAATTCAGTCCACCTATTCTGTGTGTTCCTATAGATAATTTCCTGCTGGTTAATACTCTTTATATTTGTTGTATCTTTAGGTTGTGTTGTATGGATTTATTTGGTATATTTTGCTTCGGTTGTATTTTCCCAGTGCTATTCATATACAGTACATGACAGTCTTGCTTTTTTTTTTCTGAAGGAAGTTTTTGGTTTGTTGATCTTTGTCTACAAAACATAGCTAAATATGGGACAAAGGAACTGTATTTTTCCGACTTTTAAGAATTAAAATGACAGATCAATGAAATCTTGTGTGTTTTAGCTCTGCCAATTAGCTAAACTTGGGTCATATCTGAGGCTTACTCGAGGAAAACACCAAGATAGACATTATGAACTTGGCAGTTGGCACATTGAACAAACAGTTCATTTTGTGGCACGTGCATTTATTATCTAGCATATTAGATGAGTTTATTAGTTTCAATTAAGACATCAATTAGAAAGATTGGAGGAATATTATTTCTTTGGCAAGCATCTTCTTCAATGTTAGCATAAGTACAACCTCTAGTTACAAAGAAACAATGCTGCCCTCAAACATTTTTGTGTTAGACCATTCATTTTAACTATTCTTTTTTTGAAACCGATCATTTTAACTATTCTCTCCGTCCCAAAATTTAGCGACTAGTCCTAGGTTGCTATATTTTGGGATGGAGGGAGTAGAATTTTCTTGACCTTTTTGAGAGTCCAAAGCACTCACTAAACTCAGAATGTACCACATTCAAGCCCTGGTGAAGCACATGTGCAAATTTCCACACTGAAACATGCACAAATATGTATCCATGTGTGCTTCTTAAATTGGACAACATCAACACTTGTAGTACCTAGCAGTCGGGCCATTTCAGAAAGTAGAAAATTTTATTTTGTTTTGTTTGCCTAAACGTAGTAAATAAGAAGCTTGTTGATAAACGCAAGATTCATGTCCTGTCCTGGCTGATTCACTAAACAGATAGTAGTATCTTCAAGAAGCAACTAAATATGTATTCCTGAAAAACTAGGTAGAAGGGACAAGATATTGACATAAATTTGTGGAGGTAAATTTAAAACATTGCTTGCTACGCATGAGTGATACCTGCTTATAAGCATAAGCAATAATTTGAATTGAAAACTTAATTTTCGAGTTGATTTTGGTATATTTTCATCATACTAGTTTATTTTACAGCATTTGCCTTTATATCACTAAGAACACATATATAAAAGTTTTACCCATAAATTATTTTTTAATCACTAATAAACCGTTTCACTTATAATAAGTATAAGCGAAACGACGAGGCTGCTAAATTCTACACAAGTACTGAATCTAAACTTTCTGAGGATGTTATTCTCTTTTGTTGTTTATCTGGTTTGGATAATGCCAGGATACTTCCTGTGTTTCCTCATGATTCCTTTTGTAATTTATCAACCTACACTACATTTTCCTGCTGTCACCAGGTGACTCCTTCAGGAGAACTGTTGATGGTCCTATGAGGTCAACGTTGACTTTTGATAATAATCATTCTGTAGTGCCAAGTCAAAACATTGATTACGGCCAGCCAATGGTAAGATATGCTAATGGAGCCAACATTAGATCTGGCAAAGTCAGCTCATCCTATTCTTTATAAGTAACCGTGCATCTGATTATTTTCTGTATATTTCACAGGCTTGCATTTCATACCCATACAACGATTCTGGTTCAGGAGTTTGGGCATCCTACAGTTCACGCTCGGTGGTATGTTCTTCTAACAAGTTCTCTCTCAATTCTCTCAAGGTCTTCAAACTTTTGCAGAGGAAGCTAACAAACTAGTAGTAACATTTTTTTTATCAACATATGTAATTATAAGGGTATAATTCATGCATCCAGGTCCTGCTTAGGAGATCCCATTATTTATCTATGATCAGTCCAGCCTGATTTGATTTAGTCTAGAGGCTTAAAATATGTCACTTTTCCCATTTGTCGTAAAGAAACTGCCTGGTTTTGCATAAAAATGGATTGAGTCATCAACGTAACCTCAACAGGGTAGTATGTCTGAAGCTCTTTATATAGCACAAAAAGATTACCTTTGAGCATTATTTTAGGTTTTGCCAACCTCACCTGTAAATGGTGTAGGTTGATGCATTAAATTAAACTAGTGAGAAGACATAACTAATGTCTATTTGAGTAATGCAGTCACATGCAGTTCATAATTCTTAAGAACTAGTACTAGATATACGTGAGTTTATTCACTAGATCAATATTATTCAGGGAGAACATGTAGTAGTTATGCAAACCATGTGCACACACATCTCTTGGGGCATCCAGCTTATTTTTATCTATATTTTCATGGGTCTTGCCTAATCAGTTGTACTTAAAACAGTTCCATCCTCAAATTGTGGGAGGAGGCACATCGCCAAGAGTTCCCTTGCCCTCCCTGGAGATAGCAGATGATGGGCCCATATATGTCAATCCCAAACAATATCATGGAATTCTTCGCAGAAGACAACTGCGTGCTAAGTTAGAGGCCCAGAATAAGCTCGTCAAAACCCGAAAGGTTCTTGCCACTGCCAACTGATCCATTGATGTTTTTACCTTCCATTGCCATCTCCTTGTGCATCTTGCATTAACCTTTTAATATTGTTAACCACTCTGCTTGGCTTAATATTGTAAACAATCTCCATGTGCAGCCTTACCTTCACGAATCTCGGCATCGCCATGCAATGAAGAGGGCTAGGGGCACTGGTGGGCGATTCCTGAATACCAAGCAGCTCCAGCTGCAGCAACAGTCTCACACTACCTCCACCAAGACCACCACAGACAGCCAAAATTCTTCAGGTTCAGTCCATCTACGGCTAGGTGGTGGCGCAATCGGAGATCAAACTCCATTTCCGTTCAAAGCAATGGATTCACAAGCTAACATCAAGAGAGCTGCAGCTTCTGCTTCCACCTTCACTGTAACTTCTGCGGCACAGAAAGACGACGCCTTCTTCGACCGCCATGGCCACCATCTCAGTAGCTTCTCCGGCCATTTTGGCCAGGCAAGCGCACAAGGTGGCGTCGGCAGCATGCATAACGGGTCACAGCAGAGGGTTCCTGCTATGAGATGAGATGAAGAGCAGCTTGCAAATCATCATCATATATGGTGTGGTCTGGTCCCTCCTTAGGCAATTCATCCTTGGCTTAAGTTTCATGGCTTGTTTAGGACTTCAGAGACGCTTCATAGTGCTGTGCTTTTGCAGCCCATAAGTCTGGGCTTAATTGTGATGTGTAATATCCATGTATTGGTGTGATGAAGTTGTCCCTGTTTGAATAAACTCTTTGTCTGTTGGTTATACAATGTGTTGCAAAACTTTACAGTAGTGTTGTGCAATGTGCATTAGGACAAGGTCTGAAATGCCCCTCATTTTTGTGAATCACAAAGGGTAGGATGGAAACCGGAAAATTGTGTCAAAATTAACATATTGGAAATCTAGGACATGTATATGTTGTACTAGGTGGTGTTCCAACTAATTTCAGCTTACTATACTGTATGATGGAGGGAGTAGTTATTTGGGACAAATTTAAATTCTAAGGGCTTACTCGGATCACAGGATTGTAAAAATATAGGAATAGGGAAATCATAGTAATATGATAGGAATGTATGTGTAAAATAGATGATTGAAAAACACGGGAATTTTATAGATATGATTGGTAAACATGTGTTATGTGTTCGGATAGACATTGGAAAAACATAGGAAAATAAAAAAATAAGGTAGGAGTGAATGCAAATTTTCTTTTGTTTCTCTATTGATTCCACAGGAAAGGAATTTTTTCCTCCGATTTTTCTTTGGGTCAATTCGTGTGAACCGAACAACAGGAAACAAAATATTTCCTACCTACAGTATTTCTTTGAAAATCCTATAAAAATCCCTCGATCCGAAGAGGCTCCAAAAAAAGAGCTATAATTTGAGACAGGAAAGTACGTTTGGTGTATTCCACAAGACCACAACTGGCTTGCTGCCTGCATGCGCATGAAGAAAATATCGCTGTCTAATTGCAAGTTATTCGGTGTCAATCCTAGAAATAAAGGCGATTAAATTCCATGAATGAAAAATCACACGAGTTAAACCCATTCCAAAAATCAATAAGCACAGCACACACGCTATAAAAGAAAACCAACATTATGTAAAATCGTCAAAAAAAAATTCCGGTAAAAAAAAACATTATGTAAAATGAAACATTCCTCTTTTTCTTGATTCATCATTCTCGGTAAAATCAGAGATGAAGAACAGCCACGTATTAGCGCTGCTCCTCGCCTCTGTCCTTCTGGTGTCAATGTCATCCTCAGGTAACAATGTAACATAGGAACACTCCTCTCTATCTCGCTGCAGTTTGCATTTTGCAATGAATGTTAGGAAACGATAGGCGAACAAACGATAAAAAACAATAGATCAATCACAAAAGACACGAGATTTAACGTGGAAAACCCTCCCAAAACAGGAGAGAAAAAACCACGGGCAATCCACGTGATAACCCACGTGAGATCGTGGGCATTGGCTCCGTTCAGATCAAGACTCATGATGGCATGACACGCACGCTAAAAGATGTGAGACACATACCAGGGATAGCGAGAAATCTCATCTCTCTCAGCACACTTGATGCAGAAGGATACAAATACTCTGGTTCAGGTGGAGTTGTAAAGGTATCGAAAGGTTCTCTTGTTTACATGATTGGTGATATGAATTCTGCAAACTTATATGTCCTTAGAGGAAGTACATTACATGGTTCTGTTACCGCTGCTGCTGTTACTAAAGATGAACCTAGTAAGACTAACCTGTGGCACATGCGTCTTGGACATATGAGTGAACTTGGTATGGCAGAATTGATGAAGAGGAACTTGCTGGATGGCTGCACTCAGGGTAACATGAAGTTCTGTGAGCACTGTGTTTTTGGTAAGCATAAGAGGGTAAAATTCAATACCTCAGTTCATCGCACCAAAGGTATACTTGATTATGTACATGCTGATTTGTGGGGGCCTTCTCGTAAGCCCTCTCTTGGTGGTGCTCGTTATATGCTTACCATTATTGATGATTACTCTAGAAAAGTGTGGCCTTATTTCCTGAAACATAAAGATGATACATTTGCTGCTTTTAAGGAGTGGAAAGTTATGATAGAAAGGCAAACTGAAAGGGAGGTAAAAGTACTTCGCACTGACAATGGTGGTGAATTTTGTTCGGATGCTTTTGATGATTACTGCAGGAAGGAAGGCATCGTTAGGCATCACATCATCCCGTACACTCCACAGCAGAATGGTGTAGCTGAGCGCATGAACAGAACCATCATCTCCAAGTCTCGTTGCATGCTGTCCAACGCTCGCATGAACAAGCGTTTTTGGGCAGAGGCTGCTAACACTGCCTGCTACTTGATCAACAGGTCGCCTTCTATCCCACTTAATAAGAAAACTCCCATTGAGGTATGGTCTGGTATGCCTGCGTTTTTGGATGCACTGCTTATGCTCATGTTGATAATGGAAAATTAGAGCCTAGAGCTATTAAGTGTCTATTTCTTGGTTATGGTTCAGGAGTAAAAGGATATAAGTTATGGAATCCTGAAACTAACAAGACCTTCATGAGCAGGAGTGTTGTTTTCAATGAATCTGTTATGTTTAATGATAGCTTGCCCACAGATGTCATACCAGGTGGTTCAGATGAGGAGCAGCAATATGTTAGCGTGCAGGTGGAGCACGTGGATGATCATGAAACTGAAATTGTTGGTAATGATGTTAATAATACTGTTCAGCACTCACCTCCTGTTTTGCAGCCACAAGATGAACCTATTGCCCATCGCAGAACAAAGAGGAGTTGTGGAGCTCCAGTCCGTTTTATTGAGGAATGTGATATGGTTTATTATGCTTTTAGTTGTGCTGAACAAGTGGAGAATACTCTTGAGCCAGCCACATACACTGAAGCTGTTGTTTCTGGAGACCGTGAGAAGTGGATCTCAGCTATGCAGGAGGAGATGCAGTCTCTTGAGAAGAATGGCACATGGGAGCTTGTGCACTTGCCAAAACAGAAGAAGCCTGTTCGTTGTAAATGGATCTTCAAGAGAAAGGAGGGTTTATCTCCTAGCGAGCCTCCGAGGTTTAAGGCAAGGTTAGTAGCAAAATGTTTCAGTCAAATTGCTGGTGTTGATTATAATGATGTGTTCTCTCCAGTTGTAAAGCATAGTTCAATTCGCACATTCTTCAGTATTGTTGCTATGTATGATCTTGAGCTTGAGCAGTTAGATGTGAAGACAACATTTTTACATGGAGAGCTTGAGGAGGAGATATACATGGACCAGCCAGAAGGGTTCATAGTACCTGGTAAGGAGGATTATGTTTGCAAGTTGAAAAGATCTTTGTATGGTTTGAAACAGTCTCCTCGTCAATGGTATAAAAGGTTTGATTCATTTATGTTGTCACATGGCTTTAAGAGGTCTGAATTTGACAGCTGTGTGTATATTAAATTTGTTAATGGATCACCTATATACTTGCTGTTATATATTGATGATATGCTGATTGCTGCCAAGAGCAAGGAACAAATCACTACATTGAAGAAACAGTTGAGTAGTGAGTTTGATATGAAGGATCTTGGTGCTGCTAAGAAAATTCTAGGTATGGAAATCACTAGAGACAGAAATTCTGGTTTGTTATTTCTTAGTCAGCAAAGCTACATTAAGAAGGTTCTTCAGCGTTTTAACATGCATGATGCAAAGCCTGTTAGCACTCCTATTACACCTCATTTTAAATTATCAGCTTTACAATGTGCTAGTACTGATGAGGATGTAGAATACATGTCTAGAGTTCCATATTCTAGTGCTGTTGGTTCTTTGATGTATGCCATGGTTTGCTCCCGGCCAGATTTATCTCATGCTATGAGTTTGGTTAGTAGATACATGGCTAATCCTGGTAAAGAACACTGGAAAGCTGTTCAGTGGATTTTCAGGTACCTCAGAGGCACAGCTGATGCTTGCTTGAAGTTTGGCAGGACTGATAAGGGGCTTGTTGGATATGTGGATTCTGATTTTGCTGTAGATTTGGATAAGAGAAGGTCACTCACAGGTTATGTGTTTACCATTGGTAGTTGTGCTGTGAGTTGGAAGGCAACATTGCAGCCTGTTGTTGCCCAGTCTACCACTGAAGCAGAATACATGGCTATTGCTGAAGCATGTAAAGAATCAGTTGGCTGAAGGGATTGTTTGCTGAGCTTTGTGGAGTTGATTCTTGCATTAACTTGTTTTGTGACAGTCAAAGTGCTATATGCCTCACCAAAGATCAGATGTTTCATGAGAGGACAAAGCACATTGATATCAAGTACCATTATGTTCGCGATGTAGTCGTGCAAGGTAAGCTAAAGGTATGCAAGATAAGTACTCATGATAATCCTGCTGATATAATGACAAAGCCTGTTCCTGTTGCTAAGTTTGAGTTTTGCTCAAGCTTAGTTGGTATAGTGGTTTAGCCCGAGAGGCTATTTGGCGCCGAAAGTGTTTTTTTTGTCTTTGTTGTGTTCAGGGTGAAGGATTGATTCATGCTACAAGAAGGAATTTGTCTCAAGGTGGAGTTTGTTGAGTTGTGATCCAAATTCATTTGCACTTAATAAAGGCCAGCTTCTGTCGTAGCTGGCCTTTATTAAGTGCAAATAAATTTGGATCACAACTCAACAATGAAGTGTAGTAGTAGTAATTTCTTCTGCGCAATGACCTTGTGATCTGCAATGTTTGTGTAGGATTCGCGGCCAGCTGGCCAAGTGCACGCCGGAGTACACCTGCACCGCGTTCATCTACAGGGGCGCGTGCGAGCCGTCCAAGTGATACGCGGACTGCGCCGCGGCGTACAAGGGCGTAGGCGAAGGCCAGTGCTTCCCTCAGCAAGGGTGCAAGTGCTCCTACTGCTGCAAGCCGTAGCCGCATGAATCCAGCCAGGAATGGGAGATCGAACGCTGAAGTTTTCATTTTCTGTTCTTACTGCTTCTGAACTCTGATTTTTTTTTGTCACTGAGAGAGGATTCTGATGAACTCTGAAGTTTATTTGAAAGAGGGTTTTGAACTCTGAAGTAGCATGAAAGGTTTAAAGTTATGATCTGGACTCGCACATGAAAGAAACAATCGATCGTGTGGTTTCGTGGACAAACCACCATGTCCTGCAATTAAACTTGGTAGTGGTAGGATTGTCATTTTCTTCAGCACTAACACCGAAGATGAATGGATCGGACTGAGTTTTCAAAGAAAAAGAAAAAGGATCAGACAGACCATGAAAAGCGATTGACGCGAAAAAAAAAAGATTAACTAGATTACCTTAAATTCATCAAATTAAATGATGTTACACAGGCAATAC